TTGTGCACTGGGAGCCATCTCCTCAGTCATCATGCCGCTCCCTGAAGCATCTCATTTCTACCTAAAACTGGCTCTTGCCTCGGGAAGACGCAGCTCTGCGTGCCGGGGCGAAGGGAGGAGACGGAGGACAGAACCAGAGAAGCAGCAGGAGACCGATCGGTCCACACCTCGTGGACCAGGGTGTCAGCAGGGCTGCCGTCCTCGGAAAGGAAAAAGACCCCGAAATCCAGGCCTGGACTGGGAAACAGCCCCCTGCAAAGAGAATGCTGGCTGGAGATGCACCGGGAGGTACGAACACGGCAGGAAAGGTTCTTCGTGAAAATCAGGGTTTCCTGAGCTTTTACCCCTTCCTGCTACAGACCCCTTGTATGCGGGAAGGCCTGTTGGGCAGGAAAATAAATGATCGTCAGCAGGCAACCTGTGAGCAGCACAGAGGCCCAGGCCTCCCCGGCCTCCCACTGCAGTGTGCCCGGCGCCGGGTGCTGGACGGACAGTGTCCCTTGTGATCGGCAAAGACGAAAGTGAACGTAACAGCCCACGTCCGCTTCCTCTTCCACCAACCCCGACCCTGCCAGGTCGGCAGGCCTTCTCTGACCTGCTGCACCGAGCAGGCGTGGGTGCCACTGGCGGTGGGGTTCGGTTCCTTCCTCTAGCCTGATGGTCTGTTCCCCGGGCCGTGGACAACAGCAGAAAGGCTTGCTCTGCAGTAACCCACATGCCAGACATTTCCCCAACTACAAAACACACTTTTAAAATAAACGGCACCGCGACCATTAGCCACTTGAAACAGGTAAATGTTGGCTCCGTGCCCACACTGGGCCCCGATTCACCTGCCACGTGACTGGTACCCAGGACCATGGGCCACCAACATGACACACGCTGGGCGTCACCGCTTCTGAAGCACTCATTTCACTATATGATACACATTCCAGGGAAAAGCAAAGAAAGCAGTTCCCGAAGACTGAGGCTGGGAGGAGGCCTTCTGAGCTGGGTGATCTCAAGCCAATCCCTAATGTCTCTGAGCCTGGGTCTCCTCCTCCCTCGAATGACTTAATAAAAACGGCATCTCACAGGGCTGTTGCAGGGGTGAAATGCAACAGTGGGAGCAAAGGAGCTGTGACCATGTGAAGCGCCCCCTCAATATTTCCTTTTCTGGAAACACTGCTCTTCTAGGAAGTTTGCTGAGAGATACCCTCGAGTTACAAGAAACCAAGCTCGCCTGCACCTTCGCCTGGGGCCCCCGGATGCGGTCGTGCCAAGCCGGCCGCGGAATCCACGTCCCGGAGACGGGC